GTATGTTCCCTTTCTTGTGATATGAAATTAAAGCATCTCTCAGATTTAAGTCCTGAGAAGATGTAGCAAGTCTGGAATTTTTGTTGCCTCTGATTTAATCGGCAGCGTGTGGGAGCAGGACTGTCAGAAGTAAAGTGAGCCATGGAAGGGCAAACAGCAGGGGCCCTCCTCTGATCCCACTTTTCAGTGCTTCTGAAAAGTGGGTTGTAACATGATGGAAAAGGAAGATAGCACTATATTGAGCAAAGTCTCATCTGTGTCATTGCTGTGAAAGTTTTGTTCTTTGAGGCAGGTGTAAAGAACGGCCCAGACTGCTTCTCTGATGACCTGGGCATGTGGTACACGTGAAATCAATACGAATTTCTTGGCTTCTGTGATTGAGACCGAATCTCCTGTTCTCTACTTAATAATCTTGGGCCCAGAGGGCCTCAGGGTCACAAAGTCTGGAGATCTTAGAACTGATATCATTCACCATTAATCTCAAGCAAGTTTTCTTCTATGTTCTTAAAACACTTCTCACAGCAATGAACAGCATTCGTTGTTTCTAAGATGCAACAGTGGGGACTGAGAGATAACCTTAGAGGGAAATAATGAAAGTTGCACATTTCCTGCTTGAATAATTAAGAGTCCTCTGTTGTGTACATGACCATAACGTAGATAGTAAACTGTCCATGTGACAGCCCTTTGGATGGACTTGCAGACTTGAAGAATAACTTAGGTTTTAAAATAAGGAGCTATTCAGAAAGTTGAAACCAAGGAGGTTGGTGGTGGTGGTAACCACTCCAGATGTTAAGGAGTAAAGGAACACAAGAAGAAGACAAATTAAAGGGAAAGCGTAGACTCTGGGGGACAGACAGGCCTGGAGGAATGAGGATCAGGAAATGAAAGTGATGTCAAGCCAGCAGGAGAGTCCTATTTGCCAAAACCCTCAGGGGCACCAATAAATCATATTCTGAGAGTGCAAATCCTTATTATAACTGCATTAGGCAACCTCCTATTTGGGTAAAATACTTGGATGTAGCAAGTAAATTCTTAGATAAAGGAAGACACTGTATTTAATTAGTAGAAGTTTGATTATCTCTGGATGCGTTCCATTAGTGTGCCTTGGTTATCTGGGTATATCCATCATCAGGATTTTGGCTTACAAGTCCATTTAGTGAGTCCTTGCAAAGCATTTTGCTGCTTAGCCCCTCACAGCCAAGTATCAGGAGGCTGGGCCCTGGTGGTTTTCAGGTTTCTTTGCATACGCTGGTAGTTTGTCAGAGCAGCAACAGCAGAGGAGAATTTCCCATACATGTGCGTCTCAGCCGGTAGTTAGCAGGAGGTGGGAAATCAGGCAGAGATGCCTTCCAGAGCCAAGGGGGCCTCTTGGCATTTCCCTGGCAGCCTCATGCTTATCATCAGCCAGAACCCAGCACTCATTAGGCTCGTGATGAAAAGCATCCTAAAGAAAATGCCAGCAAATTGTGCCACAGTACTGGCAGGAAATTAAAACTGCTCAGAGCAAGTGGAGCCAAGAGAGCTGTTGAAATGAAAGGTAACATCAAGGGTGTGATCACCGACTCACACAGGAGCTCAGGATTCAAGATGAGGCTTTCTGCTTCACTCGGAAAAGCAGGAAGCCCTCTCGGCTGTCAGCCACAGTCAGTCCAGCAGAGGGGCTGAGGCAGGTGGGGAGGTGCATTCTGTGAATTAAGCTTTGTTGTGTTTGGGTAAATTTGGGTAAATGCTTGTGGTTTGGGTTGTATTGTTCCCCCAAAGGAACTTCTGAGAAAAACAGAAATAGAAACAAAAAAAAGGTTCTTCCTCCCTTCCTTTCTCTCTTTCTTTCTTCCTTTCTTCCTTACTTCCTTTCTTCCTTTCTTTCTTTCCTTTCTTTTCTGATCCCAAACACTTAAAGATCAAATTAAGTAAAAGAACAACTCCTGAGGCACCACAGGTCCTGCTGAAGTCGGGGCAGACTGTATGGAGAGGAGTGGACAAAACCTTAGAACCTAAGCATCTCAGGGCATTTTAACTCCAGAGGAAATTCTCGTCGGTGGTGCTGGTTTATCCTGAGGCTAAGACGGCATCAGCAGTGGGGAAGAAAGAGGACCAGCACCAACAAGCAAGCAAAGCACACTGAAATGTTCATGCCAAATGACGGTAGTAGGCAGGGTGACGGCCCTCACAGAGGCCCAGGTCCTAGTCCCAGAACCTGTGAGCATGCTGCCTTCCATGGCAAGTAGCCAAGGGGAATTACGGCTGCTGAGCATCTGACGTAAGAGAGGAGACCATCCTGGATTATCCACGTGGGCCTGTTTAATGACAGAGGTCCTTAAATGTGGAGAAGGAAGCAGGAGCAGAAGCCAGGGTGACACCACATGAGGACTCAGCCAGCTAGTGATGGCTTGGAAGTTATAGAAAGGGGGCTTCAAGCCAAGGAAGGTCGGTGGCCTCTAGAAGTCGGAAAAGGCAAGGAAACCAATGTTTCTCTAGAACCTCTAGAAGGAATGCAGCCCTGTCAACACCTTGATTTTTAGCCCAGTGAGAACCATGGTAGACTTCTGACCCCCAGAACTACAAGATAATAAAGTTGAACTGTCTAGTCCACTAAATTTGTGGTAATTAACAATAGCAACACTAGAAACTGAATATATCAGTATTTCGAAAATTTATCTGAAGTTCCAAAAAGGAGTTTCCACGTTTGTTTACAATTCTTGGGGCAAAATAGTAAGACAAGAAAGCAGTGAAAATACCCAAAACTATCCACGTATTTATGTGTTAGGATGGTTAGGCACGTTACATACATAATCTCACTTAATCTTCACAACATTCTTATGAGGATGCATCATTAGTTCTAATCTGTAAACAAGCGTATTTTTAAACAGTGAAAACAAATCATGTCCTTCAATTCATTAAACTCCTCTAGTAGTCCCCATTATCATCGGGGGGGACAAAATCCAAGCTCCTCATCCTAACCTGTAACACTGTGAAGCCCAACGCTTCGGTGTGTGTTGGTGTGGACTGCCGGTCAGCATCATCCGGGGCTTTGTTAGAACAGCGTTTCTCAGGTCCCACTGCAGACCTTTTCAGTCAGACTCTCTGGGAGTAGGGCTCTGGAATCTGTGCTCCAAAATGCACTCCAGGAGATTCTGACACACACAGTAAAATTTGAGGAGCACTACTGTGCATGATGTGCACTTACTTCTCCAGCCAAGTCTGGTACCACTCAGCCTTGCCTGTGATGCTCTAGCTACACTGGCCATCTCTCATTTTCTAAGCATGTCATGTTTTCTCCCATTTGGGGATCTTGACATTATCCCTTTATGCCCATTAGGCTCTCTTACTTTAGAAATATACCTGTTGGCTTACGTCGCTCCTGTTTTGACGTTTCCCTGATTATGAGCATGTCAAGAGTCCAGCGAAAGAGTACTGATAGGTTTGGCTCCCCATTATTTCATAATAACCTACGTCCATGATATGAGAAAATAACAGATCCACCAGTCATAAATAGAAAGCTATAGATGATAAGAAAATGGACACTAGTTGTTAACTCTGTAGATTTAAGTTTTGCTACAAGTTTTAACAATTTTAATCACAATTCTTTTGGGGTTTTTTTTGAGGGATCGAGACTTGGAATGTTACATTTGACAAAGCTCTTAGTGCTGACACATATCTCAATTATTCCATCTTATGATTTTGCATGGCTGTATTAATTTTAATTCTTTTTTGAAGGGAGGATTTAATAAGTAGGCACAACTCTCAGTGTATACTCTATACATTAGCCAAGTTTATTTGGAACAAAAAAAAATCTATGAATCCTTTGTGACTGATAAGCACTTACACTCTTTCGATTTCTAAAGTTTTCCATTTTTACAATGAATTCTGTTGCATTTCACAAGTCTCTTGGCAGGGTCTTTAAGTTGACTTTGCTTTCGTCTTGTATAAATTAGCTACACTTAGATTATTTTCACAGTTTAAGCATAAAATAGTATCAAAGTTTAGTTCTATTGAAAATCTTTGTCTCCTCTGAGGAGCATTTAGCATTTTTATTCTTCACAATAATAAGCCGCAACTGCAGTTAACAAACTCCCAAAATTTGGTGGTGTTATGTAATAGAAATTTATTTCTCAGTCATGTAACAGTCCAGGTGGGCATGTCTGGTTGGTGGATGGCTTTCTCTCTTCCCATAGCGCCTCAGAGCCCTCACCATCCGCCAGCAGATGCAGAGAGTAGAAAAAACTCACCTGTTTCCCAGGGTCCACTCCTGGAAGTGACTTTTGCCCCTCTTTCCTTGATGAGAATTTGTCCCAAGGCCACAGCTGGATGCAAGGGGGAAAGGGAATTGTTGCCCTGGGTGGGTAGCCATTCTCAGCGACAGAATCACTCTGTGAATGGAAAGTACAACTACTGGTAGGCAGCCAGTGGTCTCCTGCCACAAAAACCAGTGTAAATTATCTTGATGTCCTGGTCTACTGCACTTGCCAACCAAATGTAATGCTCAATCACAGCAAACACATCTCTCCTTCCTGGCTATCATACGTGCTTTTCGTCCCTTTAATGATGCTCTTATATGATCCCATAACACTTGATATTTACTAATTTACAAATTCTTGTCATTCTTATTATTTGTTCAACTACTATAATTGTCTTAAGGGTAGGGCCACAGTTGCCTTGTTCATTGTATGCCCTATACCCAACATAGTGCTAGATAATGCCTCACATACAGTAGAGTCTTTTTTTTTTATTGAAGTGTAATTGACTTACAATATATTAGTTTCAGGTGTACAATTGAGTGATTTCGTATTTTTATACATTACAAAATGATAGTAGAGTCTTAATGAATTATTTTGACTGAATGAATGAATGAATGAATGAAGGCAATTCCTATTGCAACCTATTACCTTTAAGATTCATTTTATGTTTCAAGCTACCTCTGGTTATTTTTGGATTAGGCTGTAAGCTGAATAAGTCAAATGAAAATTAAGACCCTTTGTCCTCTTTTTCTTTTCATAAAGGACATGATGCAATTGTCACACTCCTGAAGCATTATAAGAGACCTCAGGATGAATTGCCCTGTAATGAATATTCTCAGCCTGGAGGAGGTACCCCCTTTCTTATTCAATTATCATTGTTAGTTCAATATTGTGCCTAAAGGTAAACCCGTGTTTCTATTACCATTGTTCTGGAGTTAGGGGGAAGGGCATGTCGTATTAGCTTTATTTTAAGAAAATTTATGTCTGTGTGAGGCTGAGAATAAACACACCTCCATTAAGTTACTTTCTAATTCGCCAATCTGCAGCTCCCCCAAGTGTCACACTGCCTGGGCTAGTTGTTTTTGAGGCTGGTGCATGACTGGGAGGGTCTGGGTAAGCTGAGCGAAGTCATTTTCCGTTTCAGTAATCTATTAAAGCCAGACACAGAATACTCACATACAGACACAAATTAAATCTCCTGGAGTCTGCTAGACCTTAGGCTTTTATTTTTAATCATTTTAAGTACTCTCTAAATAAACACTTGCTGTACTGTTTGAGTATCCAGAGGAAGACCTGGACTTAAACTATAGTCTCAGTTTATCCCTTCCCACCCCCTTCCCCAACTGGTAACCATAAGTTTGTTTTCTATGTCTGTGAGTCTGTTTCTGTTTTGTAAATAAGTTCGTTTGTCTTTTTTTTCTTTTTGGAGGTTGAAATTTGCAGATACTAATATATATAAAATAGATAAATAACAAGTTCATACTGTATGGCACAGGGAATTGTATTCAATATCTTGTGGTAACTTATGGTGGAAAAGAATATGAAAATGAATATATGTATGTTCATGTATGACTGAAGCATCATGTGTACACCAGATATTAACACATTGTAAACTGACTATATACTTCAATAAAAATATATACACAAAACAAAGCAAAAAAACTATAGTCTCAGTTGGTTTTCTTAGCAATTTTATTTTGTCACCTGCTTCTGTTTATAATGTTTAACTTTTATGCAGAAAAAAATGTTTGCTACTTTTAACTCTATAATATAATTTGATTTCTAGATGGCTCCTATGTGTCTGTTCCCTCCCCTTTGGGGAAGATTAAGAGCATGACGAAAGGTATTTAATATAGGACAATTGTTATAGTTTATTACTGAGAATACTGCCTCAAATATGATAACTTACTATTTTGTTTTATATACTATAAATGATGACTATTTTGCTAGCATAAACAATACTACTAATAGACCATTTTTTCTTTAATTAACCTCATTTGCTATGCTATTTTTCATATGCCCTTTCAGTTCATGAAGGTATAACAGTGAAAATTTCATATGGGTATTAAAAGATCAAATTCTCATAGACATTTTTATTTTTAATGAAATATAAATTATAATTATAAATATCTTTTAGAATTGGCAATATATTTGTCTTAGGGGAAAAATCTGAAAAATAAATTATTTTTTGAAAGATCTCAAATAAGTAATACTTTGGAAGCTTTTTTGAATGTATACTACATGTAGAAATTAATACTGTTATATCAAGAAAGTAAAAAAAATGGTTCAACTGTAAATTTGTATTTAACTATTTGGAATTTGAAGTTTTAATAAATTATTTTTGGTTTTGGATGTTTCTTCTGAACGATTTTTAGGCTTATTTCCTAACTGGCATCTCTTTGAGGTTTAGTTTATGATATTCAGTTAAGCCTATTGCGATAGGTTGCAGGGAATGACAAGACAAGACTCTTTATCATGATGCGATATGGACTAGATTCCAGGGTTGCCACATCCTACAGACAAGCTACTTGTTGATCGGATAGGAACAGACCCTTAGCCCTGATAACAAAAATCGGGTAACAGAGACAGAGAACTAACTTTTAAGGCAGACGGATAGGGATCATTTGTGATGAGGGTTTAGTATGTCTAAGTAGCCAGTGACAGTTGGAAAGTTAAACGTTACTAAGGAATGGTGTTTTCGGTTAAGTAAAGTATAAATATGTGTGTGCGTGTGTGCACATCCACGTGTGTGCTTTTTATCTTAAAAAATACAACAATTCCTGTTCACAGAGAAGGCAGATGTGCTCCTCCTAAGGGCTGGGTTGCCCTCACATTTCCATCTCCAGCTCTCAGAAATTGAGTTCCATGAGATTATCGGCTCAGGTAACCAAAGAAGACACTCATCTGTTTTAGTTTAATGAGCTCAAGATAATGTGTTTATTTATTTCTCTTAAACAATTTCAGGTTCTTTTGGGAAAGTATATAAAGGACGATGCAGAAATAAGATAGTGGCTATAAAACGGTAAGCAAGCAAACGAGAAATTTGAGCATCCGAGTAGAGTTGTGAATTTTGAGAAGCATATGCATGGTGAGCCCCCTGTTCTGGTTCATCTGTTGAAGATTTCCTGTTGCTGCCATTTCCAGTTATCGAGCCAACACCTACTGCTCCAAGTCGGATGTGGATATGTTTTGCCGAGAGGTGTCCATTCTCTGCCGGCTCAATCATCCCTGTGTCATTCAGTTTGTGGGTGCTTGCCTGAATGATCCCAGCCAGTTTGCCATCGTCACTCAGTACATATCAGGGGGCTCTCTGTTCTCCCTCCTTCATGAACAGAAGAGGTATGGCCCCTGGCTCGTCATTTTATATGTCAACACCTCATAGGCTGTCTGCTTAGATGAGCCTTATCCTGCAGAAATCTCTGAGTGCTAGGAAACATTGTGCCTTAAAGATGGGTAACAATTTATGCCCAGTAATTATGTTTTAATGAATAGAAATACTTCTGTGCTTTCTTAAAAGGAATTCAGTTAAAGATAACAAACTTAAGGAATTTAAATTAGTAACTGAGCTTATATAATAATTAGGCTAAATTTGACATAGTAGTAAAGCCAATATATGTAAGTGCAGAATAAAATAGTTACCAGGAGTTCACAGTATTTACTTTTAAAAGTTTTAAGAAAGAGGGGTCTAGCACAAGTCTAATTTTAATTCACTTCCTAGATCTATGCATAAAATAATTGGAATGTGTTTTTTACTTAGTGATGAAAGTAGATTCCATTTTTATGTTGTCACAAAGATAAGTATAATATTACAAACATTATAAAATCAAGTAGAATATTTAAATAAGAGGGGCTGATATCTGAATTGATCTATAATTAAGTATTATTTGATGTGGAAAAGCTATTTTTCCAGATTTGTGAATTTCTAGGTTAACCTTCAATAAAGCAAAAAAAAAAGGCTGAAATGATACAGAATAACATATCACACATGCTATTGATTTCTTTTAGAAAGATATGGTATTGGCTTTGACCATTTCATCCTCATTAAATCTATTTTTAAATTCTAGGACTCTTGATTTGCAGTCTAAATTAATTATTGCGGTAGACGTTGCCAAAGGTATGGAGTACCTTCACAACTTGACACAGCCAATTATACACCGTGACTTAAACAGGTATTTCCGCCCCCCCCCCCGCCTTTAAAATAATGAGCTTGTAATTGTGTAACTGTCTAGGAGCCTAAGACAGATTTTAGTGAAGATATATTTTAGATTTATTGCAGATCAGAGTTTTCTACACTGTGGGTAAGGGGACAGGCTACCATAAGCCTAGGCGATAGAAAGTTTCGTCATTGTCTTTTACAGAAATAGAAAGCAGTTTAACTGCCTCTCAGGGATCTTTCAAATCTATGAAAAATGTCCAGAAAGATAGTGATGTCTTTAAGATTCGCCAGCCAGCTAGCTCTCAGGTCAGTAAAGTCAGATCAAGGATTGAGATCAATGACTGTTACAGAATGTCATGTCTCATACATAGTCAAGTATTACGGGGGGACCTAATATAAAATTATCTGAAATGCTACTTTTGTGCTAACATTTTAGTATTTTTCTGATAATAATAAACTCAGCCAAAACACAGCAGCTCATTTACCTGCTAATCATGTGAAGATGTTTTCATGTGGAATAGAGACTTGAAACAAATACAGAATGGAATGTTTCAGTGGAGAAACCCCAAGGGTTTTCTTTTTTTTAAAATAGTGAATGCTTTCTCTAAGCAAAGTCTTACAGGAAGGCCAGTATACAAACTGGAGCAGCTTTGGGTGAAGACAGAGTATAGGGTAGAGAATTCTGTTCATTTACCATTTCCCACTGACAAAGAGAGAGATCCTTGGGCCATCTCTCTGGAATCCCAAAGGTGCTGAGGAGAACAGCTAGAAATCCACTGATCTGATAAACCACTAGTTTATGAAACAAGCCAGTTAATCAGAATCAATAACTTCCATTTCATGATTGTCAGTAAAGTTTGTGTAGGTCCCATATATGGTCCTATATACAAAGCCCACAGTTTTTTTGAAACTACTAAATATTGATTAATTGCTCCATTAAGTCATTTGTATGACGACTACTTGGGCATCTGCTAGGTTTAAAGCCTTTAAACATGGCACAAAGCTTGCAAAGTGGAGCTGCCATAGACTCCCTTCTCAAGGAGCTTTCAGACTCCACTAGAGGAGAAAGATACCTAAATATATTTTAGGTATGAAATAACGAGTTCTATTAAGGAATTAGTGAAATTTTTTCTACAAAATTTCAGAGAGAAGACCAGTAATTACTTCTGAGGTATTTAGAAACAACTTCATGGTGGAGGTGACATTCGAGTTTGATCTTAAAAGAGCGATAGAATTTGGAAGAGTGTCCTAGGCTTAGGGAAGACAGGAAGAAAATAGAGATTGGAAGTTAAAGGTGTATGTAGCAACAATGAAGAGTTTCACTTTAGTGCATGAAATGTGTAAGTGTATGTAGTGGATGAAGCGGATTATTGGGAAAGACATTGAGAAAAATAAATTGGAACGAGAGCCCAGAAATTAGTGAATGCTACAGGAGGGTAGTTTAGACTTGGTTCTGTACGCACGAGGGAGGCACTGAGGATGTGTGAGCAAGGAACCACAAATCCGGGACTGTGTCATCGAACGATTAACCCAGCACCTTTGTTAAGGATCAGCTCGAAGCAAGGACGAGAAACTGGGGAAGCAGTTGTTAAGGTGATCTAGATGAGTAATGAAAAGCAGAATTTCTCTAGTGGCAGTGGAAATGAAAGGAAGAGACGTGTGAAAGACAGGAGAGAGAAAATAAATTAGGTATCAGATATGTGGTTAAATCTTAGATATTGAATGTAAATATACATAGGACTCAATCTAGATAGTTTTTAAATAAAAGTCATTTCTTTCCTGTTATTACTTATTTTCTTTATGTCTCTTAAAGCTATTTATGTTAACAAATGTATTTTTTCCTTTGGGTTTCAGTAACAATATGTAGGAAGCAGATTTAGATGATAAACTAGCATAATTCAAACTGGTGATTTGTGAGTTTTAGGAGCATTAGTTTGTCTTCCCAACCATCTTTGCCTGTGGTATTAAAACAAATGAGTGATCACTGAAAGTTTTCTCTAGCGCAGCTCTTCATCTGTGGAGCAGTTGAATGTGTGTTCTGTTGCCCTGTGAGTAAGTGTAAGTTGTTACTGCCAAGTTATAAAGCAGGACCAAAAATATAAATGTTGGTTAAAGTGAAAATAGAGCATTTACTGTATAACAGATTTAAGTTTATATTTACCATTTTTTCTTCCTCTAATCCAACCTAAATGTTTAAATTGTACCAAAAAGCCTTCAATTTTTTATGAAACACTTTTTCGTAGGTGCCTTCCATGTAATAGAGTACCAAACTAGTGCATTTATTATTTCTGGGCTATTTTTTACTGATCTTTAATCTGGCAATAAAAATTCAGTTTTTCAGGTTAACACAAATACAGCGTGCCTATTGCCCAAAGGAGTGAAAAGTCTTTCTCCTCAGAGGGCTTTCTGCAATCTGGTTAGGTATATAAAACATATGCCCAGGAAGCAATTTAATTGCCATTTAAGGTAGAAAATGATTAAGGGCCAAAATGATTAATCAGCAGTTTTCAAAAGCTTTCAAGTAAATCAAAGATCAAAGTAGAGTGGAAAAGCTTCCTGGAGGATGTAGAGCTAAAGCTAGACTTTGAAGAATAGGCATGTATCTTTTCTCAGCCTTCTCATAGCATACTAATCCTTGCATTTGCACGATGCTTGCCAAGTCCCACTGAAAGAGGTAGAGGGAAAGATGAACATAAGGGGATGGGGGGTAGGAACTCAGACATTGCATTTGTATTGAAATGACCTGTTTCCATGTTTCTCTCCCAGGCTAGTCTGGCCATGTCAGGGCTTCAGAGCAGAGATCCTGCTCTCTTCATCTCAGAGTTTCAGAACTGAACCTCATATCTCGTACTGAGGTGTTTAATCAATGCATTTTTAATCGAACCAAATTTTTGAGGCATTTCTATGAATGTCACTTCAGAAAGCAGTGCCCTAGTTGGTACAAGTATGGCTGTTTGTAGATAGAGTCTGGCTAACTTACCCAGTACCTTTTATAGTTCTAAAAGGAAAAGGCTGTTTGGGTTTACAGATCAGCCCACAGGGAGGGGACACCTCTCTTTGGTGTTATGGTTGTTGATTTATTTGAGTGAAAGGGGAAAATCTCTGCCTTTTCCCTTGTTAAGTTTCTTGCCATGTACATCTGCAAGTTAATCTCAATCTTCAGTGTATACTAAAGAGAGGTTCAAGGAATAATTAAAGGAGTGCTTCTTTCCAGTGACAGGGATGAGAATTTATTTAGTGCTTACTATGTGAAAGAAGCCTTGTCAGTCACGCTCTCATTTGATTTCACAACAATTCTATATACAGTGGTTATTATCTCCATTTTACTGTAAGGAAACTGACTAAAGTGATGAAGTTCACAGCTACATCCTTACAATGTTATTAACACTGTGTTAGGCTGGCCCAACACCAACAAAACCAAGTCAGCACAGAGAGATAGAAGGAGGCTGGTGATGTTGGATGAGCATCAGCCATATTGATCAACCTTGCTCTTTGTGCTTCAGTCCTTATCAGGTTCAAACCATTTCTCATATCATCTCCTTGTGCTTCTGTGTTTCTGCTTTATTTCTTTTTCTACACCCCAGGTTCTGCTAGTATGGAGCAGAGGTTGCATGTGAGGCACATAGATATGTTTCTTTGGCCCACAGTGTTTAAATATTTTTTTAAATGTATATCGCTTTAGGCAGAAATGTACTTTTCAATTTGTCACAGACCCCACTACCTACCAACTTACCAGTTTACACCTGGTCCAATTTGTATTTTCATTTTGTGGCACTGAAGCTTGCAAAGCTTGGTTTTACAGCTAAACACTCTTAACACTTTTTACTTAATATTAGCAGCTATCTGTGTTTTCTTGAGAAAGTACAGTTTCTGAATTATTTAACATTGAAACCAAAACATTGTTGCAAACATATACGGATCAAATAAATGGTCTTTCCCCTATAGAAGTATGTAGTATAACAACACTGTGAACAACGAAATAGTGATGATTCCAACAGAGTGGCTCTGGCACTCCCAAGAGTCATGTAAATGAAAGCATCTTGTAAACTGCAAAACACCATACAAATACCATTTGTTACTGCTGTTAATCCCTCACTTGTTCCTTTATATGTCAGGAATGAAAAAATACCCCACAATATTCTCATACGTACAGATATTTCTTTTTATATAACATAACTAATTAATTGGGGGTCTAGGTCTAGGTCTAGATCTAAGAAGGACTGTTTTTGAGTATCCGCTTATTCGAGTGACTATAAGGAAAATCATTAGTGATAATTTTTAAAAAGCCAACTTACTGATGATGAGTGACAGATAATTTAAAATGCCAACACTGGGCTAAGGGCTAAAAGAATTTTGATTTTGAAGATGGCTTTAAATTAGTGAGGATTTCAGAAAGTACCAAAGAAAAAATTTGATTATAACTTTTAATAATTGTTTGTAAGTTGATACATGCATTTCACCACCCAACTTGTCCTCGTCTTCTCTGATAGGAAATCCACCCTTGCTTCCCAGTTCCCCAGGGGCCAGCTTTATCCCACATGTCATTTGGTTCAGGTTCCTCACCCTGAACCAAAACAGCAGGTCCTTCGTCCTCCCTTACTTACTCCCGTAACATCTCTGAGTCCTGCGTTGTCCTTTCTTTGTACTCTAGTGGAAATAGCTGAAGTTTCCTCCCAGGCCCAGTTAAAATGTTCTTCCTCTGTCAGCTGCCTCCATTAGAACGTCTCATTTAATTTTGGCTGCATCCACTAATTCTAAAAATAGTGCTCTTACTTAACACTCCATTAAGTAAATTCCCTTAGACACATACTCCCTTTAAATTAAAACAGGTACATTTAAATCAGAGGGGAACGTTCATTCTGCCCACACTGTCATATTGCTCACACAAACCTAGTGACACCTGCCATCTCTCACGGTAAGTTCCACCAGAATCTTTCCCTCAGTCATCCCAGTCAGACAGATCCCTGAATCTCCCATTTTAGAGGTAGATTCTAAGCCACTGTATGCCATTTG